GAATCACACATAAAGTGGGAGTTGTCACAGTTGCTCTTTGCTGATGACACTGTTGCTCTTGGGAGATTCTGAAAAGAAGTTGAAGAGGTTGGTGGATGAATTTGGTGGGGTATGCAAAAGAAAAAAAATTAAAAGTGAATACAGGAAAGATAAGGTTTGGGAAAAACAAAAGTTTAGGTGAGAAAGTTGGATTCAGTTTGGAGGGGGAGAGTATGGAGTGGTAAATGATTCGATTTTTGGGATGGACGTGTCAGCGGAATGGGTATAAAAAGGGGGTGAATCTAAAAAATGATGGGGGGAAAAAGGGTGAGCGGTGCATTGGAGTCTGGGAGACAAAGAATTTTGTCCTTGGAGGAAAGGGGGGGGAAGTATGGAGTTTATTTTTTACCAACGCTCTTATATGGGTGTGAAGCATGGAGTAAATGTTGAGCGGGAGAAGGGCTGGAGGCGTGGAATGTCATGTCTGAGGGCTTGTTTGGTGTGAATATAATGCGAAAATTTGTATTTTGGAAAAGTTAGGAGGAGGTGTGGGATTACCAAAATGTTGTCCGAGGGTGGGGAAGGGTTTTTGAGGTGGTTGGGGACATGTGAGAGAAGGGGGCGAAAAGAAATGACTTAAAGAGGTATCGTCTGTAGGGGAAAGGAAGGCGGGGTGGGGTGGGCCCTAGGAAAGGTTGGAGGGGGGGGGGTTAAGGGGTTTTTGTGTCGGGGGGGTTTTGATTTCCCATTGGGATGCGTGAGTGTTTTGTTTGGATGAATGGAGAAAAAATGGTTTTTAATATTTGCGTGCTGTTGGAGTGTGAGCAAGTAACATTTATGAAGGATTGGGAAACCGGCAGCGAACTTGAGTCCGGAGGGGAAGTACAGTGCCTGCACTTAAAAGGGGGGGGTGTTAATGTTGCAGTTTAAAAAAATGTAGTGTAGACCCTTTGGCAGACAGTGTGGAGTGAATGATGGTGAAAGTTTTTCTTTTTCGGGCCACCCTGCCTTGGTGGGAACGGCCCGTGTGTTTAAAAAAAAAAAAAAAATTATTAGACTCAGGGTGTATCTCCACTAAACATGGTTGTCTGTGGGAACTTGGCTCAGATTCCACTTGACTTACAGAACATTTCAGGAAACATTTAAAGTCATAGGGGAGACCCAAAAGTGATTTAAGTTTTATTTTTTTACCTAATGCATTTTTTTTTATTATTTTATAAAGTTGGTTTATGTGGCAGGCTTTTGGTACAAAATAGTCAAGAAAAGTGGTTTTGGTTGTTTCCTATGTGTGTTATGAATGAATTTTGTTTTTTTCTTTAAGAGATGTTTTTGGTCATTCTTTTTTTTTTTTTTTTTGGTTTCAGGTTGGGAGCTCCCCATTTTTTTTGTAGTAAAACCCAAGATTATATAAGTTTTTACAAAGTAACCCCCCCATAGAAAAAGAGGAGTTAAGACGAGTTTCAGTCCGACTTGGACCATTTACAAAGTTTGTGTGATTTGTAAAAGGTCCAAGCAGACCGAAATGCCACTTAAGTCCCTTTTCTATGTGGGGTTTTTGTATTTGTTCCAGTCACGGTATTGTGCCTTTTTTTGTTTTGTATAGTTTAACCTTTTAACTTTGTTAATGTATGTACTCAGGTGTGAATGTGTCTGATGGCTATAGTAGAATTTTTATGCCTTCAAATACACACATGCCTAATTTGTTGAATTTCTCAATGTTTTTGGGCTTAAAACCCTTTTATGTCTGGAAAAATCTTAAGACCAGGCAAGCTATGTAGGCATCATGGTTGTGCCACATAGTTTTTACCAACAAAAAAAAAAGGTGCAATTGCCCGAAAAATGCGTATTATCCCAAATTTTTTCAATTTCCGTATAACAGTGGAATTCAGCCGGTAAGCGTACTGTGTAAATTTAACCTAGGATAATCCAGTATAGTCAAGCAATGTGACTTCCATGTTTCCATAAGTATTACATCCTGAAACAATTGTAATGTTACATTTATTACAACTGTAATGTGTATACGGCCTCTCCTCACTTAATGATGGAGTTCCGTTCCTAAGAGCACGTCAGTAAACGAATTCGTCGCTATGTGAGGAGCATACTATAATGGTAGTGAGTTTGTCAACCATCTTTGATATTATTTTAATGTCACCTTTTTAAATGTTTATATAGTACAGTGGACCCCCGCTTAATGATCACCTCCAAATGTGACCAATTATGTAAGTGTATTTATGTAAGTGCGTTTGTACGTGTATGTTTGGGGGTCTGAAATGGACTAATCTACTTCACAATATTCCTTATGGGAAAAAATTCGGTCAGTACTGGCACCTGAACATACTACTGGAATGAAAAAAGTTCGTTAACCGGGGGTCCACTGTAGTGTACTGTACATTTTAATAAACAGAATAGAGGAAATCAGCTCTAGTATACATTATTTGGGTATGTATACTAGTCAAAGAGCCCATCCTAAGTCCGAGTCATCAGTAAACAAGTACGTCGCTAAGTGAGGAGAGGCTGTATATGTTTTACAGTGGTCTGGAAGGTACACAGGTGTTATCGACACAGAAATTGTTTTGATTATGTAACTAACGATATTCCTTGAACCTAAAGACATATATAACACCTAATGTGACTTACTTCCATGTTTTTAGGAGTGTTATGCCTTTAAACAATTGCAATATCATAGGTATTCCTTGTACATATTGTTAGAAGACCAAAGCAGAAAAAAATAGAAGAATTTTTTTTTTTTTCAACAAACTGGCCATATCCCACCAAGGCAGGGTAGCCCAAAAAGAAAAACAAAAGTTTCTTTTTAAATTTAGTAATTTATACAGGAGAAGGGGTTACTAGCCCCTTGCTCCCGGCATTTTATTCGCCTCTTACAACACGCATGGCTTACGGAGGAAGAATTCTGTTCCACTTCCCCATGGAGATAAGAGGAAATAAACAAGAAGAAGAACTAGAAAGAAAATAGAAGAAAACCCAGAGGGGTGTGTATATATATGCTTGTACATGTATGTGTAGTGTGACCTAAGTGTAAGTAGAAGTAGCAAGACGTACCTGAAATCTTGCATGTTCATGAGACAGAAAAAAGGACACCAGCAATCCTACCATCATGTAAAACAATTACAGGCTTTCGTTTTACACTCACTTGGCAGGACGGTAGTACCTCCCTGGGTGGTTGCTGTCTACCAACCTACTACCTACATAGAAAAAACAATTATTTGCTCTTATTCTATGTGGAGTATTATTGGGCTATGCATTTCTCCGTGTTTGAAGTACTAAAATACCTTGAAATACATCTGATATTATAGGAAAGTAGTGTACCTAGTGTATTTACTAACTTCAACATGCCATAAAATTGTACGTTTTTATCAGATTCTACTCATTTTACTCTCATTTGGTTCGGAAAAATATTCAACCTTTCAGGCTCTTAAGATTTTTAAATCTTGCCCCCACAAAGTAATTCTAATTTCTGGGCATATCAAGGTTAAGGGGTTAAACAGTATGACTGCTTTTGGGAGCACTTGTACTGCATTATGCAAAAGTCTACCATATATGAATAAATTTACAGTGAGCCCCCAGTTCGCGATATTAATCCGTTCCTGAGAGCTCATCGTAAACCAAAATTATCGGAAAGCAAATCAATTTTCCCCATAAGAAATAATGGAAATCAAATTAATCCGTGCAAGACACCCAAAAGTATGAAAAAAAAAAAACTTTTACCACATGAAATATTAAGTTTAATGCAATAGAATAATTACAATAACAATAGAATAATAACAATAGAATAATTGGCACTTACCTTTAATGAAGATCTGGTGATGATTGATGGGATGGGAGGAGGGGAGAGTGTTGAACCTATTGTTTAGAAGGGAAATCCCCCTCCATTAGGACTTGAGGTAGCTTTTCCTCCTGAGTAATGTAGGTCCTGCTTGGCAATTTCTTCCAAAACAGGCCTGTTTTGTCACAATTAAACACTTGTTCAGGTTTCAATCCTTCAGCTTCTATGTAAAAATTCAGCCACTTTGTGGTCTGAACTGGCAGCCTCACCATGCCTAATCACACTATGTATGCCACTACGATTCTTAAATCTTTCAAACCAACCTTTGCTGGCCTTAAATTCACTCACATCACCACTAGTTGCAGGCCATTTCTTTACCAAATCGTCATGCAACTGCCTAGCCTTTTCACAAATGATCGCTTGAGAGATGCTGTCTCCTGCTATCTGTTTTTCATTTATCCACACCAATAACAGTCTCTCAACATTTTCTAACACTTGCGGTCGCTGTTTCGTAATCACAGTTGCACCTTTTGCAAGAACAGCTTCCTTGATTGCCGTTTTCCTGCTCACTATAGTAGAGATGGTTGATTGGGGTTTACTATACAGCCTGATCAGCTCCGACACACGCACTCCACTTTCGTACTTTGCAATTATCTCTTTCTTCATTTCAATAGTCATTAGCACCCTTGGTCTCGAAGGGTTGGCACTAGAAGCTTTCTTGGGGCCCATGGTGATTTATTTTGCAGAAACAAGCACCAAAAACAGTGATAATATGGATAATATGGAATGTACCGAATGTATCCTTAGATGCGCGCACACTGGCTGGCTTGTAAACATTGGTACACACGGGGAAGCTCAGGCCACACGTGGACATGTCTCATATGAATCGCATCACATACTGGGTTTTGTAAAGGGAACCGAGGCAAATTTTTGGCGATATAATGCATCGGTTACCGGATTTATCGGATACCGATAGCATCGCGAACCGGGGGTCCACTGTACAGTGGACCCCCGGTTTACGATCAGCTCCCAATGTAACCAATTATGTAAGTGTATTTATGTAAGTGCGTTTGTATTTGTATGTTTGGGGGTCTGAAATGGACTAATCTAATTCACAATATTCCTTATGGGAACAAATTCGGTCAGTACTGGCACCTGAACATAATTCTGGAATGAAATAATATTGTAAACCGGGGGTCCACTGTATATTGATAAAAGCTTTCTTATATTTTAACAGATATGTCTAGGAGGAGAAGTGCCCAAGAGATATTACTTGAGTCTCAGTAAGAGTAATCTCTCCAAGCTAACAGAGGATAACAATCTGTCAACTCTCACACTCAGCAAAGGTGGCAAAAAGAGACTTAAGTTTGATATTAAGCAACCTGGATCCCACTTAAAGTGAGTTGTCTCTTTATTGTGTCAGTAAAAATAGTTTTTATTGCTACTGTAGTGTAATCTACAAAACTGTCAACACAGTTGCAAAGTAAACCATGTTCAAGAGATTTCACAAGTGTTTCTAAGTAAATTTAGTACATAATACCATTAATATAATTCATTGAGCTCTGGTTATTTCATGGTGTTATGTTTGTTGGACCTTTTTAAATTTTAATACATTCTTGTAACTGTCTTTCCAAGAAGATACATTTGTAGTATACAAGTTGGTTTACATTGGTTGTCTTACTTGGAAGAATCCTTAGTTAGGCAAAGCATTTTGGGCAGACTAAAACTAGAACTTAAAATTTCTTGATGCCAAATAGTTACTTTATTTGAAAACTAAGCTTTACCTGTTATTACTAAAAACTATTAGTTGTTAGAATATGAAGAAATTTTGGTAGAATGCTATTAATGACACAAAACTCTACAAAAAATATTAATTCTGATACCTTTTATTGGTTTTCAAGATGCAAAATATGTTTAGAAATACACTTCAGGCTTTGAGAGCTCATTTTTCAGACTTGGTCATTCATTGTCTCTGCTTGCCTGAACAAACAAACTTTATTTCAATAAAGTAGAGTACAGTACATTATACAATTAGGGTAATGACATGTATAAACTACTTTAAAGAAAGTCCCTTATTATGCAAGGCATTTTGGGCAGCCTTAAGACTAAATTATGATTACTAGTACATGAGAATAAGATTACTTAGTTTATATTATATTGGAGGTATTCAGTAATTCAATAAATTTTAATTAGTGATACATTAACCCTATCAGGGTCGAGAGGCCCTCTCATAAACTTGTTCTCAGGGTCGAAATTTTTTTGGAAAAAAATTTTTTTTTTTTTTCTTATAAAATGATAGAGAATCTTTTCCCGATCATAATGACACCAAAAGTATGAAATTTCATGGAAAACTTATGGACTTATGCTCTCGCATAATTCCAAATTCAACGATGTTTAGGCATCGTCGATTTTGCCCACTTTCAGCCCTATTTCGGCCAATTCCTGTGTACTAGTCGACAAAAATCATAACTATTTCACTAGAATTCCATTTTTTCTATCGAATGAGTACAAGAAACCACCCATTTACCAATTTCAACTATCCAATACAGTGGTCAGAATTTCAAAAGACAAATTTCAAAAGATGCCAATTTCCAAATAGGGTCCAGAATAAACAAGACAGACATTCCTGGCACTAAAATAACATTAGTCATGTCCCCAGGCCCCTCTTACATTTGCTTTCCACTTCAAATTTTTATTCTCACAAAAAAATAGAAGATTTACTGTTACACAGACTACTGCATTAGTGTAGAAATGGTATAAATAATATCAGCACACTTATGAAAGAATATTAGACTCACCAGTTGACATGTATTGGATGCGTGGCATAATTTGTTTACTTTTGAACTTTGGCAGAAATCGAACATTTTTGCTACTTTGAGCTCAATTTCAAGGTACTTGTCATTGTGAAACCAATCAAAATCATCTCAATTTCTGTAATATGTCTTCCATTCCATAAAATGAGACCAAGAAAACTAGAATACAACCATAAATACCATACGAAAATACAGTGCAAAGTCGCTGTTTTAAACCAAAAACACGATAGTTTTTTTTTTCCCATTATGCAGTGTGTGTTGCAGGATTTTTTTTGTTGTGCACACTGACCACATGGACCCATTCTTTCATATATAGGCCTACCAGCTTCCTCTCGCTAGATTTGAAGGCGCTAGAATTTACGCGTAGTAGTACGTCAGTAATCCTGGTGCGTAAGACGTACTAGTATGTCAGAAACCCTGAAAGGGTTAAGGATGAAGCTAGGTACCCAAGTTGAAGGTATAATGGAATAAGAACAGGAACAATATTGGATGAAAGACAGGTTTTAGGGTTTCAGGAATTGTCCAACATAACAAATTGTTGTAAGGATCACTGTCCGGACTCCCAAAAGTAATATTACTCTAAGTGTCCACTTATAAAAAAAATAGATATTTTTTCTTCCAAAATTATAGAGAATCATTTTCTGGGGATAATGACATCAAAAGTACAAAATTTGATGGGGAAACTCGTGGAATTATGCAGAAACAAAGTTAGTGGTCTCGGCACAATTTATGCATCAGTGATTTTGCCCACTTTGAGGCCTATTTTAACCTGTTAACTGACCAAACGTAAATTTACATTCGCTCGCCCAGTGCTCCGAATATTTTGAAAGAAAAAAATAATTTTATTTTAAATTAACCCGTAAACGGTCCAAACGTATATACTATACGTTTTTTCAACATTTGATAGTATGTAAAAAAGTAGATTTTTTTTTTTTTACATTTGAAAACGTGTAAAAAAAACTTTATATACGTTTTTTTTTGTTATATTTGAAAATATGTAAAAAAAACGTAGATATACTTTTGGAGCACTACACGTGTGAACGTAGATCTGCTTGGACCGTTTACGGGTTAAAGAGGGCAGTTTTCTGTGTGTCATAAGACCAAAAAAAAATTTTAGGACTAGTACTTACCTAGATGTAAGACCACAGAGTTGGCACTGGATGCTCACCTGATGGCAACATGGAGTCCTGCCACTTTCAGGAGTGTTGCTGATGTATCTTTTTTTTTTCATTTTTATATTATTTTACATAATTTTTATGTTCTGATAATTACAATTTGTAGTAGTTCTTGTGATTTCATAGCCAATCTTTGTTCTGACACTAATATTAGGTACTGAAATTGTACCCAAATTGTCGCAGACACACTGCCAGGTCAACATTTACACCTGTCTTGGTCATTTCCTATTGTCTATGAATATATTCAAAGTATTTATAGGTCCCAGCAATGTTTTAGACATGCTGGAGTATATATGAAACTCCTAGAAGCATGGTGTTAAGACAAGTGACACTAAACTGCTGACAGGGTAAGCGGTGGAGTGACACGATGATTGTGCACTGCTGCATGGAACCCTGGCTTTATTTATTTTCACTTACACATAAACATTGTCTGTCTGTCTAGCTATGTCTGTTTATCTGTCTTTCTGTCTGCCTGTGCGTGTGTGTCTTTCTGTCTGCTTGTCTCTCTTGTCTCAGAGAATTGCTCATGAACCAGTTGGTATTACACACGATCACTTTGGATTTTTTGGGTTATCCTAGGGAACTCACACTATGTATAATTGTATTTATGTATGTGTACCTGTGAGATGGAGACAGACAGACAGATGGAGATAGAGACAGCCTGCTGAATGCATATTACATGTTCCAGAATTTTCTTTTTACTTAGATGACACGACCAGTAGTACCAAAATTGAAAGGGTGTTACAGAAATGTTGCACATGGGTTATTATCGAGTTTTTTGACATTTCTGCGACCACTTGTGGCCACATCCATCATCCATCTCAAAGCCACTAAACTCAGGATCAACATCACATTCCTCTTAAATACGACATGACATCAGTGAATCCTTGGTGTTTGTCGCGTTGTTTGCTCTAGCTGGCGCTCAATTGAACTGGTGCTCCCACGAGGTACTAAGTGGTCCCAGATTTTTTAATACTGCACACATCGAGTGTTAAGACCCATTCTATGCTTACCAGTCATCTCAGGCCAATCATGCCAAATTTGGAGGCAGGAAAAATAAAACGTAGATCTAAGTTTAGAGCACTAGCGGTAAGAATGTAGGTCTACATTTGGACAGTTAACGGATTAAACCAATTCCATTGTTCCATTCGACCAAATTCTTACTATTTCACTAGTATGCTTTCCATTCTATTGATTGATCATAATAAACTCCTGTTCAACTATTTGATCTACTCTATAAAGTTCACAGAAGTCAGTAATATGACCAGTTTTAAACAATTTAAAAAATGCCAGTTTAAAAAGTCCATGAACAGTGTAGACATATGTGGCATTAAAACAACTTTTTCTCTGTTCATTAGTCACATCCACCAGGCCTCTCCTATATTACACTTGCCATCCATTTTGAATTCTTTTTCCACACAAAAATAGAAGATTTACTCTATTTCTCGATTAGTAAAGTATAACAAGGAAAGATTTGTCATGGTTTATAACATCACCCAAAAGTTGAATCAGACCTATTAACCCCTAAACAGTCCAAATGTATATACGTTCTCTCGCCCAGTGCCCCGAATATTTTGAAAAATAAAAAAATTGTTTTTTTTATTGAAATAAAGAGGAAATTTTTCTAAGTGTTATAAGATTAACCCTTTCAGGGTTTCGGCCGTACTAGTATGGCTTACGCACCAGGGTTTTTGACGTACTAGTACGCTTAAATTCTAGTGCCCTCAAATCTAGTGAGAGAAAACTGGTAGGCCTACATATGATGGAATGGGTCTATGTGGTCAGTGTGCACAGTATAAAAAAAATCCTGCAGCACACAGTGTATAATGAGAAAAAACTTTGACCGTGCTTTTGGATTAAAACAGTGATTTTGCACTGTATTTTCGTATGGTATTTATTGTTGTACAGTGGACCCCCGCTTAACGATCGCCTCCCAATGCGACCAATTATGTAAGTGTATTTATGTAAGTGCGTTTGTACGTGTATGTTTGAGGGTCTGAAATGGACTAATCTACTTCACAATATTCCTTATGGGAACAAATTCGGTCAGTACTGGCACCTGAACATGCTTCTGGAATGAAAAAATATCGTTAACCGGGGGTCCACTGTATTCTAGTTTTCCTGGTCTCCTTTTATAGAATGGAAGACATATTACAGAAATCGAGATGATTTTGACTGGTTTTACAGTGAAAAGTACCTTGAAATTGAGCTCAAAGTAGCAGAAATGTTCCATTTTTACCAAAGTTCAAAAGTAAACAAATCATGCCAAGCGTCCAATACACGTCAACTGGTGAGTCTAATATTCTTTCACAAGTGTGCTGATATTATTTATACCATTTCTACACTAATGCAGTAGTCTGCATAACAGTAAATCTTCTATTTTTTGTAAGAATAAAAATTCAAAGTGGAA